TCATTGATTCTTAATCGTGAATTGACGTAAATGTCTATGGGCCACAGCAAACTACTTACCATCAGCTGGACTGTGTGTTCGCTTGTCACCTTTATTCTATAGAAAACATTATACTGCTATTTAATTTATTATTATCTATTAATGCCAAATTACAAATATGTATGTCTAATAGTTTTTGAGTTATGGGGAGCCGAACGTGTCATAAAATGTGCCACTCTTTTCCTTTATAAATTTTGCTGACACACTGCCGTAGGTCTAGATTTTCGATATTATTAAGTTATATCGATTATATCACATAATACTATACTCGTATACGCTATATTTCACCAGTAAACTGACTGGTCGATAAGAATCGGACATGCTCTACTTTCAGATTATTGACTACTGATATCATCGAATAATTTGTTACACTAAATTGTATAATATGAACTAGAATAGTGGTAAATGTACGAGTTTATATCCGTTTGTTATTTTGCCGTGTAGTACGGGCGAAGTAGAATCCAGAACAAGTTTCCTTCACGGCGTTAGTAAGAGTAATCAAAATATTATGGCCTCAGATTGAAATAACACCTCGCATTTTTTATAGGATAGGGTGACAAACGGCCACACAGTCCACCTGATGGTAAGTGGTTGCTGTGGCCCATAGACATCTACATCTATCTTCGTTTGCGAATTAAAATGCAGATGCGTTGTCACCCGTGAGGACTAAGATGGAATGCCTCGTTTCCAGTAAAAGGGTCTCCGGTTCTCTACACTCACCTTACGAAACACAGCAGCATTAAGGTGCTATTTTACGCTGGTATTCTGTGAGAGCGTGGTCCTTCCCCGGCATCCCCGGTCGAGCCGACCCATTCGTCCTACAACTATACTACTAATATAGCTGCAGCATAGCTCCACCACGTACAAAATCGCATATTCTATCAGTCATAATTAAACCTCCAAACTACGATTGCCAATCCACTTAATAAGCGTGATGATTTTGTCAAATGCTTATTAAGTTAATAGACAAGAATCATGTCTTGGTACTTGTACTTTTAATTATCTGACCACGTTTTCTGTCAAACCGCATCAGCCGGTCCCAGAAAAAGTACATCACGTTGCTTCAGTTACTTTTATAACTAATTTTCCTTCTTGAAATAATTCTATATCAAAAGAAAAGGCTAGGCAATATTATCTAAAGAAAATCTATGTATAAATAACTTTAAGCTCGGCTATGTGATGTCATAATAAGTCGTAATGGACAAATTTTAATGCATGAACCCAGAAGTATTCTTTAACTACCTTTTCTGACACAAAAGACCTTTAATTTGTTGTAAATTCTGACAAAAATCTGAAGAACATTGATCAACTGTAACTTTAATCTAGATTATCAAGGCGGGAATATTTCTCTTTATAACTGCATAACACGAATGCATTTTTTGTAATTTAAAATTAACACCTTGATAAAAGCAACGAAGTGATTTTTCACAGCTGATTAAGGTAAAAGACACAATGTTGCGAACGCTCGTGACTATCAACGCTGAGGCAGACGAAAAGGCACCTCTTGTGTTCTCGTAATATTCAATTTAAAATTAAAATTGATTAAGATTTGTAATAATCATGACTAATAAAATTACTTCATTTTTGTTTCACACATTGCAATTTAAAAAAAACATTTTTATTTTCTTTATTCGTATTAATGTAAAAGTGACGTGGAGTCAATACAGATTATAGAATTTTATATACAGCTTCAAAGTGGTATTCAAATAAATGTATTATGTTTCTGTCATAAATGCGTGTTAGACATAGGTACAAGTATGCATCCGCAATATGGAATTTTTAAAGTCAGGGGATGTGACTCTGTGACCTCTTCTATGATTAGTTAAGTTTTTGCAACAACCAGATGTAATATAAAACATCGTATTACTTTACAAGTCACTACCTCACACAAAAATGCTTCAAATAGCTATGTCCGGCGGCGGTGTTCGTTGCAATACCTTTTTTTTTTCTCAGAAAGCTTCGCTGACGTGCGCATGTGCACACAGCATCTCTCAAATTTAGAAAGAAATGGAGTAAAACTCGACACTAGATATGCTATAGAGTGGTGGCTGTGTAAGAATATTCACTACACTATTATCATCACGTGGGTGTCGTAAGAGGCGACGGAGGGAAACAAGGGGTACGGATAGCAGCGTCTTTCAAATAACTACTAGAAAATAAAGAAGAAAAAACTGCGTTTGTTAACTATGGCAAGTGAACCCATTATGAGGCAAACTATGGGGAGGTATATGAATGAATGAAGTAGAAGGATGTCGAAAACTCTTTTACTCTATGCTTTCTTAAGCTGCCAGTAAAGGTTGGTAGTTATTTCTAAAAATCTCACCCCTAAGGGTAACCACGGTGAAATGAAGTTTTTTAATAAAACTATTTAGATGACTTATTATTGTTGTTTTATACTGAGCTTGAGATATTTCTTTTTCCATTCACGAGGTAAAAAAATTAACTTTCAATAAAAAGTAAAAGCTGAATTGAAAAAACTAAAAAGAATAATTTTACATTCTGGGCTTTTAGAATAGAATAGAGTATTTTATTATTCAGTATAAATTGTTACGTAATGCTTATTGAAAGTATTTTTTATTTATTCTCCATCTTGGAAGTAACCAGCTAGAATTAGTTTTAAACATAATATACAAAATTACAATAATTTTGGACATTTCTTTAAGTTTTCTATACACTATGTTTTAGCACCGACTTCAGTACAAGAAATTACTATATTATTTTTAGTTCTTTCAAGTTGAGTTTTACTTTTTATTATGTTTAATTTTATACCTTTCACTAACTTAAAAACGTTCGTAAATAGAATTTGTAAATGCGTGCTACTTTATACAATGACTTAAACAAATATTTTTCTAAAATTGACTACTCCTGCGCTCCTTTACATAGAAGGTATGTGCTAATACACTATTTTGTGTGTGCTTGTTTGCGCAGGTGCGTCGGTGTATACTTAGTTCTCTAAATTATCGCCTGCAGCGTAAGCATGCATGAAAATGTTTACGATATGTGCTACTACTTTTTTTAAATATCTTTCTTTGTAGTAGTAGTAAAATACACTTTCCTGCGTGCGTTCTAATTGGTGTATTGAGATCTAAAATGTGTGTACGTTTGGTATTTTTTTGCCTGGAAAATTGACACAACAAGTTACAACTATATTATGGCCGCAGCGCGTATGAGTTGGCTCGACTTAACTCAGCATGCCAGCGTAGGATAACGTGTATGATGAGTGACTAACGCCGGTGATATTTTAACGGTGGGGTAACGAGGCATCCCATCTAGATCCTTACGCTGGAAATCAAAGAAGAATCAAAATGCATCTGCATTTTGATTCTTTATCGGAGGTATTTGGTACTATCTATCATGTATATAATCTATTATAGCTTATCCCTACAAACTCTCAGTCAGATAACACACACACGCAGCTATCCAGTATCAATATATATTATATTTTGAGTTCTTTTTTTGAGTTATTCTTGTAAAAATTAACATTTACTCAGAAGACCGCTTCTTATTAAATAAATTTATTTTGCTACTGATTACTTTCAGTTTTCAGAATATTTTTTCTTTTTCTATCGTCTTTTATTCAATAGATAATAAAAACAAATGATGAGAATATAATATATAAAACTAAAAGTAACAAATTCCATTCCTTTTTAAGCTTCGTGTGATTTCCCAAATCCTTAAGAATAAAGATAAAGCAATGAAAGTTAATGAGTCTAGAATCTAGAAATATGGCTTAATGTATGATATTATAACGAAACGGTAAGGCAAGTAAGTGGCTGAACGGTAAATAGGGGCAACATTAACCTATCCTCAGTCTATATTAACTCACACATAAATGTGTTTTTGCATCCATTTCTCTCGCTATACGTAGAAATGTTATGTTAATTTTTAACCCCTTTTTATATGATTCGACTGCTTTTATAAGATTGACTAATACCTGTGTGTGCAATCAATTTTCACTTACTTTTTATTATAGTACCTATTAGTCTTTCATTCAACTCAAGTTACAATATAATAATAATAATATGGTACCATCTATGAATCAGTTTCATGAAGATGGAGCCTGTAGGTAGGCAAGAAATTCCTAAACGGCAATTCTAAAAAACTGAAACATCAAGTTTGCTCTCATACTGTTTGCGTCGTTGAGTCAATTCTGTTATAATACGGAATAATTTATTATTGAAACCTTATTATTTTTTTCAAACTTGACAGGCTCCAAAAAATTTATTTGCTAGACAGACATAAGTCTCTCCCCTTTGTTCTCTAGGTCAATAGTAGAAAATGTTTGCCGTAATCGACACGTTTAACAAGCCTACTTGCGGTAGTAGTGACGGTTTTCTTACTAATTTGACGTTGCTTCCCGTAGCTGGCCTTCGTATTATACTTATATTTTATGCTTGCTGCGTGTAGGGCAAAATTAATGCATCCGTTTATTGTACACGAGATCACTCAAAGCGATCCCGTTCATAGTAAAATCCAACATCTGTACTACTTCCGTGTGTGTGTGTGTGTGTATGTGTGTTGCTGATCAGAGCTAGCATGTGTGCGATAAGTATGTGGGACGACTACGTAAACGTTATAAATAGAATTTATTCTTAAACATAATCTACATGTAATTGGGTATACGCGCCACGTGACGTGTTTAATTCCTTATAAGCAAATGAACGTAAACTGGACGGAGCGTCGATCTTGTTTTTAGAGTATCAATAAATTGACGAACAAACACCAATAAACTTGTGTGTGTTAAATTCTGATTTATATATTTAAATGTAGGACATTTATATTATTTATGTTTAGAGTATAATAACTGAAAATAGTGTTTTTAGCTTAACCTTAAAATTATTTCTGTAAATTGAGATTGACAAAAATATTTATATCATAATAATCAAACTTTTCACGACTCTTGAATTTGATAACTATTTCGCTTTTATTAACGCATTTCGTTCATTATTGCAGCGCATCCGATGATCTCAGCGAGCCACCCCGGCGAGGCGCTGGCCCAGCTGCAGTTGGGGCACCTGGGCCACCTGTACCCGGCGCCGCCGACGGCCGCCATGACACCCGAGTTTCTCGCGCCGCCGCCTCGACCTTACCCGCGCTACGCGACGCGCCGGCCTCGGGACCCTCCAGCACCGGCGCCTTTTACTGGATACGCGCCATTTCTCCCCCATGCTCCGTACGCCTACCTGTATGGCACGAGGCCGCAGCCGCCCGCAGCATACCCGTTGCGGCCGCGCTCGTCATCCGGCTTCGTGCCACCTGCGCCCGCACCACCAACGCAGCTGGAACCACCTGTATCTGCACCAGCACCTATACCATCTCCAGCAGAGGTAAGAAACGTAATTTATAACTCATTCATTCATATCAGAAGTCCACTGCTGAAAATAGACCTGTCTAATAGATTGTTTCCTAGGAGGAATATATGCCATGTATGCCAAGCTTGGTAGACGGTAGTTTTTATTTGAGGCGTCTATCATGACGATGCTTCTGCCCATCTACTGATCCATTTTACTGCTCTATTACGACACACGTGGATAATATGGAGTAATTGATTCTCGTACGCCATCCCTACATGGACTTAATAACCGAAAACTTTAAAATCGTGGTTATCGTGAATGAACGATTCAAGAGACATATTATTACAGCAGTTCCTTTTTATTTTGTAACATTCCTTGTCGTCAAATTTCAATGATACTTGCGATTTACAATTTTTACACTTGGTTAAATGTCATCTTTTTTGTGTTTTGGATTGTCACATGTACGTGTTTTATATAATATATAATATTGTATAAGTGAAACAAGTAAAATCCGTAACAAGCACATCCGCAGAAGAACAAGAGTGACTGACATAGCCCAATGGTTCAGTGGATTGAAGTGGCATTCGACCAGCCATGTTGCTGTGGGATCTACGACCTAATGTAGTACACAGGTAGTCGATGGATGCAAGCTCAGGTTCAGCAGCGAACTTGTGATGAGCTTTAGTGATGTATTGGAGTGATGAAGTGGAACAAGTATATGTGACAATCTAAATCTATTATCTAAATAAATTTTATTGCTCAGTGCAATCATTCTGGACCTTCATCAGGTTTATTCACAATGTTTTCCGCTACCACCGAGCACGAGGTAAACCATTTATTTAAATTGCAATTAGCAATTTCATTGATCCCGGCGTTGCTCTTATCCAGTAACTTGGATAGACAATATAACATTTATGGCAAACGCTTAGCTCCTCAGCTACCACTGCCTTTATATATGGAACCACTACCACTGTCTTTATTTATTTACGTGGTAGAGCCACAGTGCAGCTATATTATGGTAGTAGGACGAATGGGTATACTCAACCGGAGTAGGACCACGCTCTCACAGAATTCCAGCGTAAAATTGCAGTTCAATGCTGTGAGTGTAGAGAACCGAAGACCCTTTTTACTGAAATCGAGGCATTCCATCTCAGTCCTCAGGGGTGACAACGCATCTTTATTTAAATCTTAATTGAGGATAAATGTAGCCAAAGGGCCAAAGGATCCACTTAACATCAGAAAAAAATGGAGCTACATGTTCTCGGAGTAACTTGCAAATTATAATTCCAGGAAGCTCCAATGTCACCAGAGCGCGGCGCTCCAGCTCCGTACTTCTACCGGGGTGCGATGATCCGACTGGAAGACGGCTCCTTGAGGCGCGTAGAGGAAATGCGCACTGAGGACTTCGTGAACAGCGCCAGCCGCAGCAGTGACCTTGCGTTAACGAAGTGCACGTTGCTGCGACTAGACGAGCGAGGGGACCAATTGGCGCTCACGCTTACATATGACAGAAATCGCACACAGGTAAATAAGCTTAACCTTAACGGTTTGTTGTCGATATTCCACGCATTTACATAGACGGTTTGCTTCGTCTTTCGTAATCCATACAACGTGGAATAATTTGCCGGCGCCTGTCTTTCCGTCCGATTACAATTTAGGTATCTTCAAGGTAAGAGTGAATACGCTCTTGTTACATTATGACGGCACGATTTACCATGTGATGTGTGTGATAAAATGTCTTCTAATCTCAGTTTTCGTATTAAAACTAAGCATAATGAGTAGTATAAACAGAAGCTAGGTAGCAAAGAACCTTTAACTACGGCGCTTAGTTTTAATATGACAATTTCTCCTGCAGCTGTACGCCACACGCTTCGACCTTTGATGTCGCGTCGGTGCCTTTGACAAAACGCGGCGCGTGCCAAGGCGGCGCGACACAATGGCGGTATCTAAGCGAACAGACTATATACTAGGGGAAAAGCCTGTGTCTAGCAGTAGGCTGTTGATAGGGTAATGAGAAACACTATCGTTAAAAAAAATCCTGTGTGGTGGAAGCTACAGAGAATCTATCAACCCATTTCGCATTCCATAAGAGGACTATAGAAAATAGTAAAACGATCTCATACCTGCCAAGGTGGTGGTACAACCATACCTAGACCAACGACGGAAAACTGACTATTTACGTAGGAGAGGGGGCAAACGAGCATAAGACTCACCTGATGGTTAGTGATCACCGTCGCCTATCAACATCTGCAATAGAATCGCAGGTACCTTGATGGCCTTTAGAGAAAGGATGTCTGGTACTGCTATTACTAATCCTTTCAAGAGTTACGATTATGGCAAATAAAGTTCCTACGGAAGGACTTTTATAGACGTGTTATATGTAATTTAATACCTTATACATAATATGATGTGTTTCTTCGTCACGCGACTCTATATATTATACTCGGTGAAAATCTGAGAGCAGGGCACGTAACTAATTCGATTTTTTTTTATTTCAGGTCGAACTAGAATGGACAGTCGATCGGCCATTCTTCGTCTACGGTAGAGGATGGGCGTCGTGCAAACCCGAACGCACGTTAGCTCGGTATGGACTCCGAGTGCAAAGGCTACAAGTTGGCGACGTCTGTGTATCACTTGTAGCCCGAAATCACGCGGCGGCCGCGAACGCGGGTGTCGCGAGCACCGTAGGAGTCACAAGCAGCTTAGGTGTTACAAACAGCATGGGTATTGCAAGCAGCCTGGGAGTCACAAGCAGCGTGGGAGTGACAAGCACTTTGGGAGTTACAAGCAGCTTGGGAGCAACGACTAGCTCCATGACCACGTGTCTCCCCACGCCCACGCCTCCTCAAACTCACCCGGAGAACCTCAGTGTGAAAGAAGACGCCCGCAAGCGACGCTGGTCCGCCTCCGACGTAAATGACGGGGACCGTCCGCCGCTCAAAAAACGCTGAGCGCAATACTTCTCCGTAAGAACGCTTATGTGAAGAAGACCTATTTAGTGTGATGCGATTGCGAACAATCGCAACGTGTTCCATTTGTAAGCGAGCGGAATTCGCAAAGAAAATTTGCTTCAGTAAGCATAACAGTATGAAAGGCTTGAAGATAAGTCGCCTCACGATACAACGTAGACGATAGATCGCCCCAGTGACTTTACTCGCGTGCCATCGGTACGTTTGGTAAAATAATTTGTAGTTTCCACTGCGACCGCTGGTCATACGCTTAATATTGTATTTGGGAACTCTAGGTGCTTATTACTGTCGGGTGCTTCTATACGCGTTTGTGTATGATATTGTAAATAGGTTACTTAAGTCTGCTATTTAATACACTCCATGACCAATGTTACGTCACAAAAGTGCCGGAAAAAATTTACACTACGCTGAACGTACATAGTAGGTAATTGAAAAAAAAATTACAATCTGTTCATAATATGTCATACAAAGATTTTAGCGTATTAAAATATTTCTTACAAGTCAATCAAACATTAGGATATTCATATCAACTGTTTAGCGGATCGAAATTGTTTTCTTAAAGGCTTCTTCACATTAAGCAGAAACTTTAATTACATAGCCAGTATACGCGGAGTATTTATTTTCCAAATGAGCACAAAATAACAACGTGTTAATTAATACCAGATCTTAAAACTAGGTTAGATATTGTGATAACTAATGAGATTTTATATCGCCAGTCTACCGTGACATCTGGCAATGCGTATTTTAAAAGTTAAAGGTACAATGCATGTTAAACAATGTTGGATGACGTGTGCGTATGTTCTGGACAGTTTTCGGGATCTGCGGGATACCGAATTACTAAGTTTCGCGCTAGCAGTCTTATCGGTTTCATACTTCCCTCATGGTTGTGACTGCGAACATATCTTACGGCTGAAGGTCGTATTTGCAACATTTGCAGTAGATTAACGGGCTTTCATACAATTTTATCTTTGTCACACTCACCACACGGTAGATATTCAGCGAATACTTAGTGGAACAAATGGATAATTCTTCTGACAAATAATTTGATCATATTATATAATATAAATATTGTTGATATCTTTATTGTAAACTAATAATATGTATAATGGTCATGGTAATTAGATGCCATCTCTATTGGTTCTTGACGTCCATGTGTGATTGTGATACACATAACTTTTCTATGAGAAGATGTATACATAATAAACACACCGTCTGTGATATTTTGTAGGTCAGAGTAGGTATGAAGTATTGCTTGAATAAAGAAAAATATATGTTTTAGAATAATAAGTGCGTTATTGGTAAGAAGTTGTACAGTTACTTTATACTCGAAGAATAATACACAGATAACAAAATAAAAATTTAATACAAATTTAACAAGTAGCAACTGTGATTAATATACATATATATCGTTATGTAAAATAACGACAAACGCATGGCCATATCAAAATTATTGATTTTAAATATAATTAAGAGAACATAGTTATGGATCATCATTTATTTAAAATTTAACTTAAAATTTTATTTAAAATTTAATTTGCTAAAATATACAATTCAACACAGAAATCAATACTATATAATTAACATTAAATTACAATTTCACATAATTATTGCAAAGTTTAGAAATTAAAAAACATTGACGGAGTCAGTCAGAAAGTCAAAATTTATTATGTGACTTTCATCTAAATTTTAAAATTAAATTATATAAGAATTACATAAGGTACAAGTAGTTCTCCATAGTTCGCAGCAACTAAGTATTGTGATTAAACTTGCCAAACCCTAGTGAGCTCTGCCCGGCCGATAAAAATGCACTATGCGGAAACGGATGTGGCTTGATACGAAGGAAATTAGTTTCATTGTACCGTAAACTGTTATGTGCTTGTTAATTTTAAGTTTAAAACAAAACAAACGACCATCGTAAAGTACGAACACATCGCCGACGACGGATAGTGTTGTAAAAAGTTAATAATTTGTTGTATAATGTATGTAATTCTAGTTTTATCGTTTTATATTATTATTTGTAATTTTAATTAAAGATCTCATTTTATTAATCGGTATTTTCTAACAAGGCGCTTTCATTAGATCATGACTAAGCCTACCTCACAAACTTTAAGACTAGTGTCTCGCAGAGTGACGTGCCTCGCGCGGAGCGTGGTGTCGCCTCGTAGAGCCGGTCGCAAACAAGTCTAACCAAGATCTCAATTTGATGAAAATAAACTTTTAAAAAGACTGGGACGCTTTACTGAATGTTGTGGGAATGTAGTTTCTTCGAAGATATTACTTAAATTATGAGATAGGAGCATTTATTTTGTAAAGGGACGCGGACAGCTCCGGTTCGACAGGATGGACAATCGTTTAGTACGAAATTCGTTACAAAAAGTATTATTTCCCAAAATCCAAATTCAAAAAGTATTAATTTATTTTCGCTTAAAGGTGACTGAAATATTCTAATTGAGTTTTAAAACTCAATTATAAATATAGAAGGTTTTTGTTATGAAAATCTTGTAATTCCATATTTTTTCAATTGATATTGGCGCAATCGACGTTCTTCCGTGTCTTTGATATTAGTGTAGGTTAAAATTTAAAAACATTACTACTTTCTTAATACTGCGACAGCATTTTCTACATATTCTATCATTATGTTATATACTGTTACACTGTACTCTATCAAATATCTGTTCCGGAAAAATGCTTTTCAATTACCATTATGCCCAAACAAACTTTCAAATGTAAAAATATTTTACTTGTACAATTTTAAAATAAATAATATATTTTCAACATTTGTATCAACTTTCTTAAAATATTTAAATAAGCTGTGTGATTTGTACATTTATTAATGAAACATTTATAAATATATAGATTACAATATATTACATTTCATATATTTTGTATGTTCAGAGTAAAAATTGAAAATCCCTTGCTTCGATGTGACCGGAATTTTTTCTTGTAGTTTTCCGTAATTTATGGTATTTACTTGTAACGTTTAAAACAGGCAACATTTAAAGGCGTTATATTTACATGTATTCTATTTAATTATAATGTTCAATTGCACAGAAATGTTACGAATGCGAATTAGATTAGTTGAAATATTTTGAGTGATTGATGTAATATGTGCTGCGACTATAGTTACGTTAGATACGTTGAACATAGGAACATTTACGAGTAATTCATTTGATGTTGCCAATGTTAGGTACGGCCAGTAATGGTTTCCATAGTCCTTAATATTAATTTCCCAACACTAACACAATATATTTTGACACAAATGATTGTGCCATCCTTAAATACATCTCGATAATATCTAGATGGTCATTGTTTCTGGTAAAATACTGAATGAAATCAAATAAGCATGAAGCTTAATTGATTTATATTCTTTATTATACCAAAAACTTATTTCTAATTACATATTGAAAACAGTTTGAATTTGTATGATTGTCTTACGTGACTTTGTCCAATTATAACACTGATTTCAATATGTGACAGCTGTAGAGAACAGGAAATGTTGTGTCATTTAATTAATAGGTAAATAATTATAAAATTGTTATGTAATTATATGACAAATATGGCAAAAAATATATTATGTATATGTATATTTTATTGTATAGCGGAATGAGTATATAATATTTCACATAAATGTAAATGGAAAATGTTATAAACCGAAATATGTTAAAACTAAGTTAACTGTTTGTAAAAAGAAAGAGAAAATATGTATAATGGAACATTTGCTATTTGGTTGTTTTATTGCGAAAATCCTATTTTTTTTTAATTTGAAATAAGTACATCTACCAAAGCTTATAGTTTATTATTCTCTCACTGTTTGAATGGCGAGATTACCGTAGATCCATTTTACTTACAATCAAACATTCCATCAGGGGTGGCAACACTTCAGCATTTTGATCCTTAATCGAGAATAGATGAACTCTAGCATCCACTTACCATCATGCCAACAGTATGCTAGTTTGTCATCTTTCTATAAAAAAAAAACATTTATATCGAAAAACTTGATGCTATGTTTCGTTACCCATTTTAGTCACGGCAAGAATAATTCGTATGGTGGTTTTATCATTTAGACTATCCGGTGAGAACGTGGCAGGAGTAGATTAACTGATAACTGATATTTATCAGAGGTTGTTAAAGGGAATACGTCAACACTTTCCAGGCTAATCGACACCCGGTGCACTCTGGTGCTTGACAGGCGAGGTTTTGGAAACCGCATAACCTAACTTTTACAGACTGGTAACAGTATTGCCAGAGCCAACGTGGTATGTATGGCAAGTTAGTACTTCCAAGTAATGAACGCCAGCTGGAGCAATCTAGGAAAGACTTATATATTTTATATATTTATTTCAGGCAGAGCCCATATGTGTTCTTAACAAATTAAATTATATCTAGGATTAATAAAAAAATACATTAAAATACTATAAAAACAAAAGAAACAATAACATTATAACTGTTATGCTGCTATGTGGACCCGCACTCGCGCTTGTAGAAGGGGCAAGTTTCACCGATCAACGAATACCCCAAAGATACTGTTAGCGCTGTTCCACAAACGGGTCAGCGTGTGTGCCTCCACCGACTCCTAACTATCGCGGCGAAGCTGTCAATACGAGTCTCAGCGAACATGCCTGAGGCGCTACATCGCCATGGCAGCTCCCACAGTACCCTCAAGGTATTGTTGTATTGGACATGTAGATTGCTGTTCGCTGACTACTCGCGCTGGGTATAGCTAACCCACAGGCCGCAGCAGTAGAACTACTGACAAAAAGCTTTAAAAAGCGTTTTTTTTAAAAAGAGAGGAAGAGAGACAAATAATGAAATTAAAAAATTTGTACAACCGACTTTAATATTAGAGGGCTTTTAATAGAAGAGTAGGCTCTTTTCTTGAAGGTCCCGAAGTCGTATCAGTCCAGAAAAATCGCTGGTGGTAGCCGATTCCACAAAGAAGTTGTGCGAGGAAGAAGAAAAGTGTGCCGGCATGAAATGCAGTC